CGTTGGTTCGTGTCGGTCATGTTTTTTTTTTTCGTTAATTGTTTTGTTATGAATTATGCCGCTAGTTTTCTTAATTGAATTGTTTCATATATTTCAATTATAAAATGGCCTTTTATAGCCGACTATACGGTATGGGTTTTTTTTTTTTTTTTTTATTGTTGGAGGCCCTATGATTGCTTATAACTGTTTATGTCCGCTTCATTTGAACTTTGGTGGATAGTTGAGTCATTGGCAATCATACCACATCTCCTTATTTTTATGTTAGAAAATGTTGACAGCTACAGAGACGAAAGTACAAGTGAATATGTTCGTAGACAATAACTAGACAATATTGTGTTTAGCAGTTCCTTTGAGATATTTGAATTAATTCAAGTCTTCAAATTGAGGAATAACTTTTTTGTAAGACTTTAAATAACTATCACCAATTCTTAGAATATGCATATCCAGTTAACTTACGAATATCTTCTAAGTACATTGATCCAATGGGACGAATCTATAAGCCTGACCCAGCAGAGCAACAGTCAATGTTAGTAGTGCATTTGGAAGACAAAAGCATGATGTATTTATGTCGTTGGGTTGCTGTCTCATTGCATTTTACCCCCACCTTTCCCTTATTTATGACAGAAATTTAATGTCTGATAAATGATTTCCACATAATCTCACGAGCTGCGTTGGTCAGTTATTGACATCTTACATCAATATTTTCCATAAATGACGAAATTTCATGCTTTTGTTTTTATTTTTTTGTTTTGTCACCTTTTTCATGTTTGAACTGTAAAATGAAAGTCGAGCGTTCGAAGCGCGCCACTTTCCTGGTTTTACCTTCATCAGGTACGCTCAAACATCAACATTTGAAAGCCAATCTACTTCATCTAGAAACATTGATTTGCTTGACATTGTGATCATCTGTGCGTTGAATGCACAACGCATACAATAATGATTGTTTATATGAGAGGCAGAAGATACCAAAGGGATAGTCAAACTCAAAGTCGAAGAGAGACAGACAACTTCATGTACAAAGAAACGAGAGAGAACACCATCAAAAATACAAACAACAGTCTACAAAATACATCATAGAAAACTAAAGATGAGCAACACGAACCCCCCAATCTCAGGTGCTCCGGAACGTTAAAATTAAAAAAAAAAACACTGTTTGTTCTTCCTATCCAGTTCCATAAACTACTGTTACCGATACAGGACGACTTTTTTCAACTGTTTGACCATTTGATTAAAAAGGAATTATGAATGTCAAGTATGGATATTTTTTAAATAAACATTGCATTAGAATTTTTAAATATCTTTCCTATTTTTGAAAACAGCTAAAGATAGGCGATTAAATAGTTATGGACTTTTCTTATCACGCGTTAATGAAAGCATTAGACATGAAATGTTAAGATAAACAAATAGTTCAACGAAACCATCATTTACTCTTTGTGTTATAAAAATAAGGATGTTTGGCTATCTTGTTTGTTTTTGTTTTCTATCGCTTAGGAGACGACGGTATCTGTTGTAACATTACTCATGTCTGACTGTAAAACATTCATTAATAAAAAAAACGGTTTTTTCGAAAACGTCTGTCCGTGTTGATTTTTGTAATTTCATTCGTTTAAACGGGCTGTGCATTCGAATGGAATTAATTTCTCCTGTGTGTTTTCATCACATGTAGCATAAAGGGCGTAAGGTTTTCCCACTTCAAAATTATTTTCGCGGATTTTTATTTCCTATATAATCCGTCAATCTGAATAGTGGTTCTAGGTAAATTTTACCTCTGGTTAAAGGTTATTCTACTTTATGTGTGAAGAGGTTTTTTATACATATATTTGAATTATATATTATACATATAGATATATGTTTAAATAATGTTTACTTAATATTAAATGTAGCGTCGGCGTTGTCGCGCGACCATCCACTTTACAAAGTCTTTGGTATTTATTAGCCTTCTACTGCGTTAATATTCAGACATTTCATAAGGCAGTGTCAAATATATATTTGGATATTTGGTATACGTATTGGTTTTATGTCTACATTGATGGGTAGTTTATACCAGGAGAATGATATAGTTAAATGTAGTACATACATGTACATGTTTATAACAGTGCTTTATGTGTTATGTTTTATCTATCATGATGATCGATTTTTTATTCTTTGTTCCGAACTTCAAGGCCGATGCCCTTTATGAATTCCCGTATGGAACTAGTGACATTTCTGGAGAAACCGAGATCAAGTCGTGCAGCTTCGTCTTTAGTTTTCTGTGTTAAGTTTTGCAGCATGTTGTTGATCTTTTTTCTTCTTTTTATTTGACCATGTTGTGTCTGTTTTCTATCTTTTTAGTCCTGTATTGTCCTGTATTTTTATAACTCCCTTGTCATCTTCTTACCTTAAAAATTAATACTATATATAGTTTTTGCTATGAAATGCATTAAATTATACAAATATACAATATTATTATTCATTTTAAATGAGAAACGAAAGATACCAAAGGGATATTCATATTCATAAGTCGTAAACAAACTGACAACGCCATGTCAAAAAACCAAAAAACGACCAATTATAGACAAACCACAGTTTACAAAATGCAACATAGAAAACTTAAGACTGAGCAACACGAACCCCGTCACGCATAATTGTTTATATTCTACTAACTGCTTAACGTTTTAAACAAAAGTTTTGTAATTTCTGGGAGAATGGTACAAGGAAGACAACTCAATCTAAAAATGTCAAACAACTAGACGTATGAATTTTACTGTTGCAAGTTGAACTTACCTTACAGACGCATAGCGGATGAGACTTAGGCTCAACATTGTTTAGCTCTCTAGACAACTCTCAGCTCTTTCTCTAGATTTATATTTCAATGAAAGAGCTGCAAAATAAAACCGTTAACCTATATGATCCTCAAGATACATATCTGCTATTTCTATTAGAATGATTAGGCCTGATTTATGTACAAAACAATGAACGAAAACAAATATGATATACAGCTACAAACGACAACCACTGAATTACAGACTCCTGACTTCGGACAGACACATACATAATGTGGCGGGGTTAAACATGATTGTGGGCGCCCCCCCCCCCCCCCCCCCCCCCCCACTAACCTGGAACAGTGGTGTAACAGCACAACATATGAACAAATTAAAAATAACAGTTGAAAAGGGCTTAACTCATCAGATCAATACAAAAAAAAAAAACAAGTAACAAAAACACAGACCGGACGTGGCAGGATATTTATACATCCCCACAACAAAAAAGGCACTTAGTACAGATCTGAGAGTACTCGCAGTTACGGACAGCTAGTTCAAAGCTAATAACATATACAACTAATAAAAAAAGCATGAATGCAAGACTAAAATATCAATCAGTACACATCCAACATCCAATGGATTTAGTATAAAGACATCATTAACAGTCGGAGAAATACATGACATTGTGCAATGCCAATTTACAGAGCAAATAATGTTAATATGTATATAACAATGCTATATTTAGTTTGGTTTTAATATACTGATCACAAAATCAATATTCATACCAATAGAAAAATCAATATTCATACCAATAGAAAAATCAATGTTCATACCAATAGAAACAATATTCAAAGATATAATTACAATTTGAATCTGGTAACCTTTTAGAATAAGTTTATTTAAAGGATCCATAAATTTACCCTGATCGTATTTAAATTTCCGTCCCGTTAAACAACATCTCTTTTGTGGTAATTGAAATCCCTGAATTAATAATTTACAAGTAATAAATCATAGATTACGTTCATTGAAATCCAAAACGTTACTACAGACACGGGCAAAGCGAACGAGTTGTGATTATATAGACACCAAAGGAACATCGCCATCGAAAAAGGATAATTTACAATAGTGAAAGAAAAAATGTCCCTGTTGTAAAACTGAAATATTTAAATCTAGAAAAGGACAGTTATCACCGTTTATATTTGATTTATTTAAAGAAAATTCCTTTGAGTAAATTTCGGCAATATATTTAGAAAATTCTTGATTATTTAACGAAAAAATATCATCAAGATAACGATGAGTATTGTTGAATTTATAAATTAAAGGGGCGCAATTGGTACCCTTAGGAATACCTACAACCTGTCAATAAATTGTATTGCTGAAACGTATATAAATGTTGTCAAGGAGAAAAATTAACAGCTTCAATCATCTCATCATACCTCCAGTAAATATATCTAGCATATTTACTTTTCTCATTGGAGAAGAAGGCTTTAAATGAGTTGCAGCAAATATATTTGCAATCAGATTTTTCATAATTAAATATGAAAACTTTTGTTCGATATGAGGTTCAGTATATCCGTAACGACAATCAATCAATTGAACTTTATTTTAAATGCTCAAATAAAGTAAGGAGATAATAAATACATTATACATGTCGGCATATGTTTTTTTTTCTTGACGGAATTATTTGCTTTCTTAGCCAGCTTGGGAAAGTGCCTCTTGTGATTTCGCCATTGTCGTTATTTTGCCTCTGTCGTACGTCATCCTGCGTCTCTTTTCTTTTAAAATTTTGATTTGTTCTACTTCAGAACCAATCTTCAGAATTAATCCAAACTTGATTATAAAAATAAATGTATCTTGCAAGGTCCTTTCTGATTTTTTTACCTTGGTACCGATTCGTCAATATATTCGACTGCCATGACTTTTCTAAATTCTTGTTGGCTGAACTAAGGAAAAAATATCTCAAACACAACTAAATCAATTGAAGCAAACAATAACAGATATGTACCAGTGAAGGTCCTTAACAAGTATTCAAAATGGGCGCTAGCTACGGTAAAATTTTACATCGACATTGAAATCCAATGGAAAGTACATATTTCTTTTCTTTTCAACAGATGAAGTGAAATGAAAACAAAACATGAAGAAATGTTCCTTAGAAAGTACTTACCAAATGTTGCTAATTTGGCCCTGAATAAAAAGTCCTATCTGGCTACAATGGACTAGAAAGGAAGCCCACCGGGTCCGAAATTCAAAGATTTTTATCTCAAATTATCAAAATTTATTAAAAAAAGCAGACAATCATATGCTTAATATCATGTGTTAACATAGAATTCTTTCAAGCTTGACAGTATATAAACATCAGAGAAATGATAACTGACGCATTAAACTTAATAGTATCAGCTAGTGCAAAACATGTAACTAATTAAGAAAGTACACTTGAATGTCAGTACACACAGTTATGTTCTATTACATTCAGAAGTAAACCATTTTTTGTTTCACATCAACGGAAATCGGCAAAAAAATAAATTATGTAATAATCTTCTAAAAATAGTTAAATATTATTTGAATGAAAAACTTCCTAAAACGGTAAACATTTCTCTTCTGTGCTTCGAACAAAAATAATTTCCAGTCCAGATCGTAGGTATATATAACCGTTGGTGTTTGTCTCTATCCGAATACTGTAAAATAACATTCCACTGCCATTTCAACCTCTTTTAAACTCTGAAGTCATTTTTACATCACTAATTTCAACAGTCTACAAAAATGCAAATAATGGTAGAGAAAATTCAGTTAAGGGTTATAAAATCATATAACATATAATATACAACATCATATATATAATGTGTTCTATCGGACTCGAACTTCTTTTAAACTGAGTGTTACTCTGCGTATTACTGTGTGTTTGCTTATTCCACATTGGCTAGAGGTTGAGGGGAAGGGTTGAGATCTCACAAAACATGCATTTTTGCGCCTGTCCCAAGTCAGGAACCTGTGGTCTTTGTTAGCCTTGTATGCTTTTTAATTTTGGTTCATTTATATGTTTCGGAGTTTAGTATGACGTCCATTTTCGCTGAACTAGTATACATTATTGTTTAGGGACCAGCTGAAACCCGCCTCCGGGTGCGGGATTTTCCAGCTGTGTTGAAGACCCATTGTGGCCTTAGGCTGTTGTCTCTTTGACACAATCCCCGTTTCCATTCTCAATTTCATCTAAACATACAGTAATATCTGGACTTACATCAAGATGTCGTTTAATGAAATTGGATACCCTGCATTTATCATGTTTTTCAATAACATAATGGTAAAATCGCTGAAAGACCATCCTCCTAATTTATTGAAAACTATCATTCTGCATTGACAATAATATCTTGGTGTGAACGCCCTCAAGGTGTATCTAATACTTATCATATCTATAAAGTAACAAAACACAGATGAACGTCAGTCATAAGATAAACATATTTATACACTGACATAGACGGGCCACATAGACTAAGAAAACATTTTCACAACACATCAGTCAGCATCATGACAAGAACACAGTGCAATAATCTTTTCTGGCGAAGGAAAAGGAGTTGATGTTGAAGGTCATAAGCTGACAAGTAGATTTTAACCTTCATCTGTATTGAACTGGCAAACATAATCTTCATCATATTTCTATATTCTTTATTCGCACTTGTACTTTATTCGCACTTGTACTTGTATATCACAGATACATGTTTGACCCCTGTACCGAGAGATCAACGAGATATTTCCACTGGAGACCACTGAATTTTCAAATAGTTAAAATTTTTATTCAAATTACATTTTTTTAATAGCTTTATTTTTCCTTTTTTAAGATGAAGAAAACCAATTGCTCAAATTTTGATATATAAAAAAAGAAGATTGTGTATGATTGACAACTATATACTAGAGACCATATGACGTAGAAGTAAGCAATTATATGACACCGTACGGCCTTCAACAATGAGAAAACCCTAAGCCTTGATTTGTAGTTCCTGAGAAAAATGCGACCAAAATCTTATACACGGCCATTTTGTGTAAGGACATATAAGTATTCGGTAAACAGAAAGTTGACGTGCGTTGAATCTGAAGAAAACATCACACAGTATAGCAATGCTCACATGAAACTTGATACAAAATTCAATAAAGCTTTGATTTGTAGTATGACGACCGGACGGACAAACGAATAACGGACATACGAAAACCAGTATACACCTTTCCTTTCGGAGCGATAGCTAGCGGGGTATATTAATAAAAATAAAACCAAGTCATACAGACAGCAACAATCACCAACCATTAAATTACAGTCTCTTGACTTGGAACGGACACAAAAGATGTGACAGGGTTAAGTAAACCCTCCCTTAACCTGGGACAGTGGTGTAACAGCACAATTAAAACAACCCGTAAACATCGGTTGGAAAAGGCTTGAGTCATCATATTGGCACGAAGCATAAAAAACAACTAGCAAAAGAAAACCATAGAGTACAGATCTAAGCTAAGAGTAAGCACTGTTACTGAAAGCTAGAACAAACCAATTACCATTAACAAATAAATCGTCTTCTTTCAGACTAGTTGTTTCCTTTATCTACTTTTTATTTTAGAACTAAATGGTTGACATTTATTTACATTGTTGTATGCAATGCTGAATATAAAAAGATTTTTGTTTATTATTGTACACCATCAAATGGTTATTCAACTATATATATATATATATGACAATAGTTTGATAAAAGAATAAAAATATGTACTCACTGTAAACATCATATCGCCTTTAACTTCCCGAGTAACTGTGAATGGCTTATAACCCATCATTTCATTTTTCTCAACGACCACACATTTGCTGTCTGATTCAAATGTTACCATAAGCTTCAAGACAATATTTTTAATTGATTGTTGGTTGCTTAATGTCCAGTGTCAAATAGTTCATGCAGGCCAGGACGAACAAGAAATTTGATTAAAAGTATCTTAAAGTATTTCGACTTAATTATTATAACTTGTTTCTTTTATTATGCGTATAATTTATAGTACGTTGTTCTTATTTAACTGGCTATTAAATATTGTTTATCCTTAAACATGTAAAGAGAGATATGCATTTTCTCTATCACTAAATTTTTCCCTCTCATCATAAAGTCATTCAACATTTAAACATGTCATTTTCTTTTCATACCTTCAGCACATCGTCAAAGTAACCTGTCGTCTCCAGTTCTTTCCCAGGTTGGAATTTGAATGTTTTCGTTGGTAAACCACTGTATGACATCTTTAAGATCCAGTAATCTCCGTCTTGTTCATATTCCAAAACTGATGTTGCGTCCCTGTGTTTGTCTTTCATATCATCAGGTATACCTATATGTAGAAGATTTTTTTTTATTTCGTTATTTATTTCATGTTCTGCATGTCATCTTAATGGGTGTACAGAGTACGTGTAGAACTTAAAACGTTTCAACTTACATATTTTTTTTAACTTTAATACGTCATTTTCCGTGTATTCAAATGATAATAAAAGTAGTCATTTAAAACAAGGCACTTTGATATTCCGCTCGCTACACTGGTGTAATATAGTAATACCTTAAAGGATAATAGAAATCCCCAAAAGACAGTACAACAGAAAACATCCACTACAGAAAAAAACCAGACGAGCAAACAAGACAAACAGGAACGTACTGAACTTGGTCCAGGAAGACTGACTTAGTACAGGCACAAACTGTGGTTAATTTAAACCAGTTTTTCGTCCGAACAAACCTCCCGCTTCCCCTATCTTTAGCGTATGTTGTAAAACTATACCTATAACACACAATAAGAAAAAAAATAACAGTACAGCTACCAACAGGATGGGCACTAACTTGAACGGGAAATAAATATATATCATATTGTGGAATGAAATGTTAACTGTTTGCAATGGATACTGCCACGCAAAGAACTCAAAAACAGCATTCCTATAACAGGTTTCATGAATTCTCATGACAGAGTTTAATTGAAATCGGCAGCATTTGTGAGAGGCAAGTAATTATTCCAAATCGTCAGATCATCGGAAGAAAAGACCATTGTTACATATCTCGCCTTTGACACTTGCTTTTTGAATATGTCAGAATTTTCCTCGAGTGATATTTATAAACTTGGAGTGAGAAATACTGTCATATATATGTTTTATTTTTTTACGAGAAACATTTTATTTAAAGATATTACTATGCTGTTAAAGACGTCAAAGTTTTTTTCAAACTAAAATGGGTTTCCTGTAAAAGTAACTTTTGTGTTAATGCAAGGTTACGTTCATTAACGTCCGCTTTCTTAAAACATTTCGAAATGTACACGCCATAGGGTGCAAGAAGATGAATATCCGGGTCCAAAAAAAAAGGAAGTTACAGATGGCAAAGTTCAAATTATCCCTTTGGTCGTATATTTTAGTTTCAATTTTTCCTCTTTGTAAAAATATATATATCTGAAAATTGAAAATATTGACTGTTATAATTATTTTGGCTGTATCAAGCTAGATTAGTCTAAGAGTTCTTTTGGATACATGCATTAACATTCAGCATGTTGAATAAACTTCAGAGTATCAGCGATATAAGAACATCATCAAGATAAACTGCCGAAGCAAAGTCGTCGGCTCTCCAAACCTACCTGAAGTCCTGCGTTTTTATGAATTTATGAGCTCCGGTCCTTGCTTGGAAGTTGCATTTAGATATCTGCTATCATTGTTAAATGTCGATTATATAAAATAAGGAGGTGTGGTGTGATTGCTAACGAGACAACTATCGACCAGAGGCCATATATCGATAATGTAAACTACTATTTGATACTGTTTGGCCTTCAACAATGAGCAAAACCCATACCATATAGTAAGCTATAAAAGGTCCATGCATGACAAAATGTTAAAAATTCTAAAGAGAAAACCAATGTCCTAAATTACTTTGTCATAGTTTTTAATTTTCCCTGCCTGAAGTTTTTCTTGAAAGAAGAATCATAATATTAAAAGAATAAACGTCAACAACAAGAGGTGCATTAATAGATGTGCAGGAAGTACCAATAGGAATTCCATTAATTCGACTGGATATAAACTCTTGCCATAAAGAAAATATTATTAGTAAGACATTTTGAGACTTAATCCTGCCTGCGTTTGTCCAGGAAAATGCTTTTTATACAGTATCTTCTATAGCTAAGGAAAGACCGTTAATTAGTACAAAAGATGAATTAAAGACCTGATTGATCAAAACCCTTTTCAATTATTTAACCAAGTTTATTTTAATCAGATTATGTGGATTAATTCCGAAGACAAGTGTGTATAAAATCATAGCTTTCAAAAGAACGAACTACACGATCCATAGAATTTAGTCTATCAAAGACTGCAACGGAAATTCTAACTTCAAAAATAAATGACGACTGTGTTTTACTTGATTTTATTGCATTTATTATAAGTCGAAGATAAACTGACATCACCATATGGCATAAAACGAAAGACAAATAATATAAATAACAAGTCCTTAAAACATTACATAGAAAACTAAATAATGAGCAACACGAACCCAACAAAGATAAGATTTGTAATGGTCGTGTGTACACTTGTCAGAAACTAATACAAATTAACATTAATTCACCTGCTAGAAGCTGATAAAAAATGGGATGCATATGGTGTTGTGTGTATCTTAGCCAGTAGTTAGGAAGAACACTTTTGAATTTGACTTGACGCTTGAAGTTGGAACTATATTTTTAGTAAGCGGTTTTCTATAACTTTTTTTGATAAATAAATCAGAATAAAAAATCTTCACGTAAGATATCGATGTATAATTACTTACAGACAATAATAATAACATGTGAGGTCATATATCAGAAACAATAACAAACTACGCTAAGGCGTAAGTTATTATATACCAATTAAATAACAAAAAATCTTTGTCAAATTAAAGTAAAAAGGACTCTGGTTCATACAAGCTAGGTTACCTCTAGATTAACGAATAAGGACTTCAGATGATCATTGTGGTCTATTCAACACACCGACTTACGGTGTACATCTATGTCATAAATGATATAATTTCCCATTCAAAATATAAGACAGTTCTTCCTCGAACATATTAACTTACAAAAACAATTAAAAACCAAAACGCACGCTACTTTGTGCTAAGCATAATCCTTATTCGTAATTCAACGTATCGGAAAGGTAGGTGTCTGACAGATCCAAAAACACTCACGCGTTATACAACCTGTTGCCAAATATAAAGTCATTCTGTTCAGTAGTACAGATTGGAAGACTACCAGATTCACTGACTAGCGTAAACAATAGAAGATGTTAACGGCCGAACAATAGGTGCAAATAATCTAGCTGATCAATATATATGAAATTCTTACCCGCTGCTCTACAAAATTCATCATAATTTTTTATTGAATTTCCATCTTCTATCCATTTTCCTAAAAATTGAGCCATATTTGAATTTTTTTTTTACTGTCCTAAATACACACTAACACTGCAAATTCTACAACAGTCAGCAATAAAACGTATTATTTAATGTAAATATCGAGTGTTAACGAACTCTATGTGTATATAAATCTACCTATCTTGTCTGGTTAAAATTACCTATTGCCTCGATTTCAGTACACACAGTCATGCAGTTGTTATATGTAAACCTTTAAATGATTAAGAATTTTACTTGTTAATATATATCTGAGAAATATCTAAAGATGTGTAAAATACTGACAAATAGTATGTCTGCTATTTTAAACGAAGCATTTCGGATGACATGAAAAAATTTCGATGACAGAAGACAAATACGCAGTCATTCTTGATCGAAGCTGACCTGAGACACATCGAATAAATGGAGCATTTCGGATGACATGAAACAATTTCGATGGCAGAAAACAAATAAGCAGTCATTCTTGATCGAAGCTGACCGGAGACACATCTAAAATACAGCTATTCTTATGTTATGAAATCAAAATTTTCGAAAAATAAACAAGTATATCCTGATTTAAAGTTATAATCATTTCATCACCCACAGAAATTGTCCGTTTTGAACTCAAATTTCAACTGACTTCGCTAATTCAAAAGTGACGTTAAGCGCGTGTCTATAAAAGATCCGCATATTAAGAAGATGTGGTATGATTGCCATTGAGACAACTCTGCATCAGACATCAAATGACGTAGAAAAATTATAGGTCACCGTACAACCTTCAACAACGAGCAAAACCCATGCCGCATTGTAAGCTATAAAAGGCCCCGAAATGAAAAAAAATGTAAAACAATTCAAGCAAGAAAACTAATGACCGGATTTATGTACAAAACAATAAACTAAACGAAAAGCAGATATGATATACAACAACAAACGACAACAACTGACTTGTGACAGGCACTGCCACATACAGAATGTGGCGAAGTTACAAAAAAATGGAAGCGCGTGTCTAGTTCGGTTTTTTAGAACAGTCAAATTAGGAATTCATTTTAGACTACGTGACGAAAGACTAAAATCATCAACCTGTCCTGATTGCCGGAAATTGATATTATTTAACGTGAGCAAAAGGGTAACAGCAATAATTTTACTGAAACAAAGAGTTCAAAGTTACTAAAGCGACGATCAAAATCCATAAGTCAAAGAGAAACCGACACCACTAAGGAAAAAAGTCGAAAACGATGAAAAGACAAAATCAGTCAACAAAACACTTCACGAAGAACAGTAGACTGGGTAACAAGAACCCCACAAAAACAGGGATGATCTCTTGTGCTCCGGATAGGTACGCATATCCTGTTCCATATGTGGCACCAAGTTTACCTTTATACAATACATTTAATAATCTTAAAATATATAAATTTCGAAGATAACAAGTGAACAAGTATGATTTTGACCAAAAGATTGTTCTAAAAAGTATTATTTCAAACCTAGCTTTTTACCTGTCTGTAGTAATATATTAAATGTCTTTTAGGTGTTCATTGTATATCTTAAATGGTTTACACACTGTATTTCTAACGATTTAGAGCTTGACATATTGCACAGATATTTTTTAATTGTAAAAGACCGTTTGTTGACCTTCTTGGCTTTCTATGTCTTGTGTGGGGAGTTTGTCGTTTCTTTCGGTTGCTATCTAATACTTAATATAATATCCTTTTATTCATTTTAAAAAAAAGTTAGAAAGACAGCCAACACAATTACTGATAAAAGATCGAAAAGACAAATAGAGACATCGCATACCTTAATTCTTATATATAGAAAAGAATCACAAAGATACTTTTATATCTTTTTGAATTCAACAAAACATTTTTGAATTTGCAAATCTATATCGTTATATCTATATCCATACTCCAACAATCGGGACAACTCCAACAACCGGGACATACACCTAGAAAAGGAATTAAAGATAAAGGTGTTAGTTTTATGACAAAAAAAAAATCCTCACGTAATCACCTAACTCCAAAAAAGAAATTTTTTCCAATACAATAAAACTAAAATTCCACTGCCATTTCAACCTCTTTTAAACTCTAGAGTCATTTTCACACCACCACCTTCAAGTTCAACAGTCTACAAAAAAATACAGACGTCACAATAACATCTCTAACAATGCTCTTTACATAAAGTAACATCTAGTTTTACCAGCTCTACAAAAAAACAAACTCAGCTGAGATGTTCGTCAATATAATATAAACATATTCCTATACTAGTAACGTCGACTAAAAAGTAAACATCTCCATTTTATCTTTTAAAAAATTAATACAAAATTATGGATGATTTGGTTTATTTATATGGATGTGTATTTAAAAATATGCTTTGATGTTTTAAACATGTGTTTTATAGTTTTTGAGATATCAACACTTTGTACCTGTCTAGACAGTTCCTATCAAAAAGCAATATTCATACAATATCAGCTACGAGTTATAAATTGAATCTTAATTAAGCGAGTAGCCCAAAACCCTTTATATTGCATCCAGCTGTTTGTATCTTCTATTTTTTGAAAATTGTATCATCGATTTATCGGTGTGTATTACTTTTTATGTTGTTTTCATGTTCGAATGAAAGGTTTTCCTTTGTTTAAAGCTATAACAGCACAATGACGTGAAGATTAAGTTAACCTTGAGTAACAGCATGTTTATGCATGATTTTAGAATTGGTTGAAGTTCTTAAGGCTGAGTCAAATCAATATCACGCTTACAAGTCGTGATATGGGACTTAAGCATATGAGCCAGGTTATACAGGTGCAGGAAAGATCGATAAAAATCTAATAATTATTTTACCAATTTTGAAAGTACTATTTCAACTATTTTTATATTTCGAAAATGTTTATTATGGGTAATCACTAAGTCTTGTAGTCCGGATTGGTTTTCTCCACATCCATTGTGCTTTCAAAGGCATTACTATGTAGTTCAATGATTGATTACTATTTGTACTAGCCGTTCAACTGATTACATTTTTAATGAGTATTTCAGAGTTTGTCCTTCTTTGTGATAGTTGGAACCCATGGGTTTGTTTAAAGATATTATTTTTCATTTGTTGTGTTGTCTTTTGTTGGCTGCTATTATGTTGCTATAAATTAAAATTAAAATGTCTATCAAACAAGAAGAAAACCGTTTTTTGTCATTTAATTCCTCTCTGGCATTGATATTTTAATCAATGAAGACTTAGTGTTCCGTAAACGAAAGTAACGAGGAGAGATTAAATTTTGTAAGTCGAAGCATGAATGATAATAAAAATCTTTATTACAGAGATATACATACATATAGCGATGAAAACAAACTTATTTACAATAACACCATACACACGAACATACACACAAGCATACAACAATTATCAACATACACATATATCATTAGGTACAATAAATACAAAATGGGGGTTGTGTTATTGCCTAGAGAAGACATAAGTTATTTAGTTTGCGTATAAATCTACTGTAACAGTTTTTATAATTTAAACTTGTTTGTAAAATTCATAATTTCTTTGAATTTCAAAATATTTGGTCTTTGCCACACATTTTCATCTATTAGGTTTTTCCTGTCAATTTCAAATGTTTTACATTCCAGAATATAATGATATTCATCACCAATACCGTTATTATTACATTTCAAACATATTTTATTTTCCCTTTCTATACCATTCCACCGTCCTGTTTCTTTAGGTAGTCTATGATTTGTGGTTCTGAACTTACAAAGCGTATAAATTTTGGTGAATTTAACATCAATGAATGCAATTCCTGTCAAAATTGATCATGTGGGCGCATCTTTATCGAAGAAATAAGCCAATCTGAGCTAGGATTTTTTGTTATTTTTTGTTTTGATAATTTGTTTTTATTTATTTATATTTTTTTGGGGCGGGGGGTAAACCCTCAAGTAATATATTAATAACTGATAAATGACTTTTAAAAAAGTCTCTTTTTATAATAATTGAAATGATGTTTCTCCATGCCTTCATTTCCTGTTTCGACTGTTACATTGTATCATAAACTCATCATAGATACCAGGATTAAAATTTTGTACGCCAGACGCGCGTTTCGTCTACAAAAGACTCATCAGTGACGCTCGAATAAAAAAAGTTAAAAAGGCCAATGAAGTTGAAGAGCATTGAGGACCCAAAATTCGAAAGGTTTTGACGTCATTAATGGAATTTAAGTAAATAAGACTTAAATTCAGTTATCGCTGGGGCCACTGACGGATTGTGTTTCATGTTTTAGATTTACCTAACATGAGTGACGTTATATTCTGTGACGTAATTTAGTCCTTTACAGAATTTCATCGCATCAAGCAAGCTGTTTAAATTTCGTTAGCGGTAAAATTGAAAAAATTGAAAAGTAATATCTTGTAATGGTAAAGTAGTGTTAGTATTGTATGGTTATAACCTGTCTCATGCTTCTAATGTTTATTAGAAGTAATCATAGAAAGAATTCATTTTATCGATCGTCATTTTTTAACCATTCCATCAGGAATTTCATCGCCACGTGGAGAGCACATGCAAAGACTGAAAGAGATTGGTCCCATTATTCGTTTTCATTTTTAAAATAAATATTTAATTTTTACAAATATGAGTAATTAGATGCAATATTGTCCTAAGATTTGCAGATTATAATAATGATTTCGTCATTGTATTCTAGATCAAATTAGATGCATGTATAGTCTGCCTGATACCGATAGGTACTCATATATATATATATATGACGACGAGTTTAATTATTATTTTTTTTTTAATATTACTTTTTGTCCATATATTATTACTATTGAAATTGAGTATTGACAGATCGTCTAGTGCCTATGGTTTAGCTTAACAAATTGTATTTATGCTGTAACACTAACAGATCATCCAGGTTAATATATCCCGAATTATAATTAAATTTTCCTTATAAGGGTATACATCGGGAATGTGTACCTAGATCTTTCATAGCACATATTGATATACAGCAAATATTCCATGAAAGGATATGAACGTACAAAGGTGCAAAGGGACGTACCCTTTGGGGCGAAAGGTCCAAGGTTCGTAACCGGAAGTTCAACTTTCGATACAAATAAACAAAAATCTTGGAAATCTTGCACAGAGACCCTGCACGGAGTTACAAGCAGAAGCCAACAATCGTCATGTCTAAATGTTAGCTTGCTGGTGGAGTTTA